AGCATACGCACAGGAAGGACAAGTAATAACTTCAGTGATTCTTTTAGTTTCTTAAGATTCTGCTCCCATGGGAAGGTGAAAATAACTCCCGGGACAGTAGTGAAAAGCTCTTCAGGACATGAGCAGATATGGATCCTATGTGGGCCGCCTTCTACTTGTGGAGATGGGGCAGATATGAAGATAGCACAGAGGCAGAGTGATACAAACTGCATGGTACTGTCACAAAAGCAGACATGGATCGACGGACAAAATTAAGATTGCTGAAACAACTGTAGGCACCTTCAACCATCTGAGCCTTGACTGAGTGGTCAAAAGATAACCTCTTTAACAAATGGTGGGGAAAACTGATTATCCACTTGCAGAAGAATGAATCTAATCCTTTACTAAATCAAATCAAATGAATCAAAGAAAGACCTAGACATAAAAATAGAGACATTAAACTTACAAAAGATAAAAATCAATAAAACTCTTGAAGACAGGCACAGGCAAGGAATTTCTGAACAGAACCCCAGTTGTGTGATAAATAATACCAAGAAGCAATAAATTGGATTATATAAAATGCAAAACTTCTGCACAGTACACAATCAGTGGAATGAGAAGATAACTTATGAGTTAAGAAGAAAATTTTCTCAGCAATTCCTCAGACAGGTGAATAATATTTAGAATAAGGAGCTGAAAAATTAAACTTCTAAAAACAAATGGCCCAATCAAAAAATGGGCAAGCTAAGTGAATACACTCCTTGCAAGAGGAAGCACAAGGGGTGAGTAGTGGCATAAAAAAGGTTCGGCCATCTTCAGCCATTAGGAAAGTGCAGATAAAAACAGCACTTGGGATTCCATCTTACTGCAGAACAAGGGCTGTTATCAAGAACTCAAAAAACAACAAATCCAGGCAAGACTGGTGGAGAGAGGCCTTCCATATTCCTGGTGGGAATGTAAACTAATACAACCTCTGTGGAAATTCTTCAGAAAAACTAAATACAACCTGGCTATCTCTTTTCTGGGTATCTTTAATTTTTTTTTGCACCAGGAATTAAACTCAGGACCTCATACTTACCAGGCAGGCACTGAACCCAGCCCAGTCTGGGTATCTTTCTGAAAGAGTTAAAGACATAGTATTTAGTGATATGAACATACCTATGTTCACAGTAGTACAACTTATAATAGCTAAATCTTGGAAGTGGCCTATAGGCCTATCAATAGATGAATGGTAAAGAAAATGGTATATGTACACAGTGGGGCCATAAAGAAGGATAAATTTGTTTTTTTTTTAATTTAAAGAAAACAAAACACTAAAAGGGTACAAGTAATATAGAATTTCAAAAAAATCAATAAGAAATCACTAGCTAATAGATTACATATTGTCATCTTAGAAATAGTCAATTAAGTTACAAAATTAAGCATACAAAGTGGACATTCAAACAGTGAGACCGCAAACAGTTGTGTTCAATGATCCAACAAAAACTTAGTAATATGTTCATCTATCTTAACACACTAAACACACTTGCAGTTGTGTCCTTTAGAACACTTAAGAAGGGTAAATTTGAGTCATGAATGTGACTCAGGTCCATAATATTTGAGAAACCCAAAGTATAAAGAATATGAAGAACAAAATAACAGAGAGATGGGCTTTGTGAGGTTAGAAGGGCGTCGGGGGATGGAAGGAGACAGGAGGAAGGGAGGGGAAGGGAAAGAAAAGACTTGAGATGCAGTATGTATATATACCAGTTCCTCAGGTGGATGTGTCTATTATGTATTATAAACACATACTGATAAAAATGTTTTTAAAAACAAAATAGATGTAATTGGTGCTTCTTCTTATAAAGTGCCTCAGGCATGAGCTCAGCAGAATCCAGGACCCTGACCTTAACAAGGCGCTCATGGGAGGCTTTTTGTCTTTTGAGTTGCTAGATGCTTAGATGCCTAGCTGTGTTTGGCCTCACCTACATCCTTTCCATTTTCAGACAACCTGAACGAACCCTCATACATGTGTGCAAAATCACTGACAACTGCTGCATAAGAAACAAACCAAGCTGCTTTTTAAAGTAGACATGCTACCAACTTGACCGAGTTAACTTTGCAAAACTAAAAACTTGTATATCGTGACAAAATTTGAGATCTAAGGAGCCAAGCAGGAATTGGAATTGTGTCCTTAACCTGAAATTTAAAGAGAAAATGCGGCGGGAAAGTGTCAGCAGTGTGTTACTGGCAGGTCAGCTTTGCTCCCGATGGGACAAGGGTTGACAGCTGCAGGTCTCAGGGTAGAAAGCTGGAGCAGAGGTGTTCAGAACTCAGAAACATAAACCCTGGGTAGAATGCACAGTGCAGTCCCACATATGCTAAAGGACTGACCTGATTCCTTGTGGCCCAAGATGCCATCAGGTGTACCCAGAAAGCGACGCCAAGAATGGAGACGTGGGGATGTTATTTTAAAGTCAGAGATTTGGGTGGTAAAGAATGCAATGCCCTGAATTGAGACCTGGGCACTTTTTCAAGGCTTGTATGAAAGCTCGTCTCTCTTTGTGATTGGGTTTGGCTAATAAGTTTGAGTTTTCCACAGAGCCAGGCTGTGAATTAAAACTGAGTGGGTTAACAGTCTTTGTCATGACCATGGGACCTCAAAAATAGTGTTTTTGTTAGAGTATTCTGGTGCAGTAGAGAAGCAAAAAGTACAAAATGAACAAGTTTATTGAGGACGTGGAAAGGAGCACACAACCCATGGCGGCTGGGCTGTCTCCTTCCACCAGATCAGAGCGGCAGAGGGTTCTATGACCTCTGATTGGAAGTGGAGCATGGGCAGATGTTGATGACGTGTAAGGAACCGATTGGAATTCTCTGTGCATGCAAACGGGAAGGGAAGTTGCAATCAGGGCTGAAGAAGAAACAGGAAGTGGTAAGCCACCTTAGACCACCTTAGACCACCACCATAATTGTGCAGTAATTTATACTAGGGCAAGAAACTTTCAGTTTTTACCTTCTGTTATATCATTGGTATTTTACAACATGCTGTGCAACTGGTGAAAAGATACTGATTTAATCCATCTTATTGCTTATGGAGAGCCTTCAAATATGACATTAAAACTCTCAAAAGGGACACTGCAAGAATTTCCAGAACCATGTCCACAAATCATGTCTGGAGATTCTGGATAGTGTGGAAAGTATTTTGTGTCCAGATGGTCACACCATAAGTTCGGTGCGTGAGTACACTTACGATGCAGGGTCTGGCAGAGACTGGGCAAGCACTATGTTCTCTGGGACAGTTGTCTTCTGGGAATGGAGTCCTGCACTTGCCTCTGCCTGTCATCCTACATGGCCTTGCATGGAGCTGAGAGCATGTCCAGCCAGGCAATACCAGCCCCGTGCCCCTGAGTTCTTCACCTTGTGATCGGAAGTAACTTATGAGTTCTTTGAAAATAAATAGGAATTTGTGATTGTGTGACTATGCACCAATTATGTGTGAGGAAGTGTAGGGCCTGGGGATGTCTCCCAGCAGCAGAGCGCTTGCCTAGTAGGCTCAAGGCCCTGAGTGCAGTCCCTGGGAATGGGGGAAAAAATCTGATTGCATTTAGTTATGTTGTCAGTGGACAGACAGATTGTAAACTCTCACATGATTATCCTTGTACTATAGGTAGAATTACTGGGCAAGATAAAACCTAGGTGGCTTTTAAGCTATGACTGATTACTGCAAAAGTGATTAATTGCATGCCTGCTATACACTGGGTATTCTTTGAAAATTGGAAAGGTAAAGCAAGTCACAGCGAATATCTGTGGAGCACAATCTGTCTATCTACAGCCAGAGTTGGTGCCTTAATCTCTCACCCCTCAGTTGCTGGAGCCAGGATCTGCAACCTATGTGGGGCATGTCTGCCTGGGTGGTGTGCACAGCGTGGCACCCCTCAGCTCCCCCACGTTGACCACTGCCTGACACTGTGTTTATGCTCATAAACATCCCATCAGCAGGAGCCGTCGGCTTCACAATGGGCTTCATGCACCATTTCCGCAGAGGAATTTCGGCTGGCCAGGGTGTATCATGCAGCCAGCCCAGAGAGGCTCCATGTAATTGCTTACCTGTGGGTCCCACTATAGCCACTGTGAGCCTGAATTGGGTGCGGACAGGCATACCTGTGCGCGCGCGCGCGCGCGCGTGTGTGTGTGTGTGTGTGTGTGTGTATGTGTGTGTGTGTATGTATGTTTGCATATATTCATGGGTGCAGACTGAACAAGACTGAACCAAGGAGGAGCTGAGTCACTGACACAAGGAGATGTCAGCTTTTACACACACGATCCATACCAGTGGCATCTTAACTGTCATGGTTTTGTTTGGTGTCTTTGTCTTACCTGATGTGAACTTTGGAACTGATTCATGTCTCTGGCTACGGGGAACCAGAACCACAGAGAATTCTAGTTACCATTATGTATGGATTTCTGCTACTGTGGCTTGCTTTAGACTCACCCCACTGTGACACAGTATTTGGGGCCCATGGCTTGGATGCTGAGAACCTTCCTGCTAAGTCAGAGGTCAGGAATCCTACTTGGAAAAAAAAAAATTTTTAAGGGTCCCTCAAGGAAGATGACTGCCACGGAAAGATGTCCTGGGTTTGGTGGGAGGACAGCAATGTGGAGTTCCTGGGAAGTCACTGTCTTTCTCTGGGGCAAGGACACTTCTCAGGCCCCCTTCCCTCCTCCACCAGTGCTGCTGTGGCATGGGAAATCGAGGCATGGGGTCCACTGTGGATCTCCTTTGCCAGTGATGGCTTGTGCCACTTGTGAGTGGGCCTGTGTGCTCAGGAGGAGAATGGGTCCCTCCCATTGACACACCGATAGAGAGGTGACTGGGGAGCCCACTGTGGAGCAGTACCCCCGCTTTGCTTGGCCTGCCGAGCCCCTGCTTTCCCTCAGCCCTCTGCCTCCAGGCACGATTACATCCCGTCCTGGCCCTGGCCCCCTGTTCCAGCCCTGCCCCTGGTGCTCATTCACCGTCTTCCCCTCTTCCTCTGCAGCCTCCTCCTGTGATCAGGAGCACCAATCTGCCCTTGAGGAGGCCAAGCAACCCAAGAACGACAATGTGGTGATCCCCGAGTGTGCTCACGGTGGCCTCTACAAGCCAGTTCAGTGTCACCCATCCACGGGCTACTGCTGGTGTGTGCTGGTGGACACGGGACGCCCCATTCCTGGCACATCCACCAGGTAATGCATAGCTGTGGGGAGATGGGGCAGGGGCTGGCGTGAGGACCAGAAGGCCTCGTCATGCCAGATGGCGACAGCCCAGGAGTCCTCTATCCTCTGAGCCTGGGTAGCCTTTAGGTGCATGTGACTTCTGGATCCAAGAGCAGAGCGAAGTGTGACTCTGGAGGTCTTCAGAGCTGACTGTGGGTGATAGTACAGTAGTGTATAATCACATTTAAGGCAAGGTCTGTCCAAGCAGACTCTGCGATGGGGAGGATGTGACCTCCTCACAGTGAGGGTGAGTGCGTCCTGAGGAAGCCAGGACACTGGGTGCCAAGGTGGCTTTCTGCAGAGCTAGGACACTTGTAAGATGCAGCATTAGAAATGGCGAGAATGTGCCAAGACAAGAGCAGTAAAGGTATTCGAGGCTTTAAATCTAAAATCGACTGATACACATTTTATGTGAATTTGAGGAAAACAAGTCATTTCCCCAGGGCGCCTGAGAGAGAAGAGTGCCTGGCTCACAGGGCAGTGCGATCCCCAGAGGGCTATGCTTTTGCAGCTCCTTTACGTGAATCTGCCTTTGGGTTTTTTCTAGGTTTATTTAAAAATACTTTACAGACATGAAAATATTATCTTTCAAATCTTGTCAAATTTGATGCCTGATTTCATCTCTATTGCCTGGACATGAATATTTTGACACTTCCTGAGTTATTTCTTCAAACTATCTAATACAACCACCAGGCAGATAGAGAGGAGAGCAGGTCTGGGTAGCCTTGGGGCAGCACACGTGGGTCCCTGGCTTCATATCACCCCACACCCCTTCCTTGGGAGCCCCACAGAGGAAGCTGCACTGTGCTTCCGTAAGGGGTGGGAGTGGCTGCAGGGTTTGGGAGCGAGGACCTCCAGATACAGAGGGAGCACAGCCTTCCAAGGGATTTCCTTTGGGGCCAGCCCCCTGCCACCTGCTTGCTGCTGTGCATGCAGATCAGGCCCTGCACCTGCTGTGCTCTGGCTACCTGAGTCTCTGCACACAGCTGTAGGGTCCCTTGCAGACATGTTCTGAGGGATGCTGTGTCCTCAGAGAAAACCAAGGAAAAAGCTGATGTTCAACATCAGACTCCTCGCTCTGCACCGGAAATGCTGTGATCAGCACTCATAATGATATCCCTGAAGAACCTGTAAACACTTCATTGTGTGATCAGCTCCGAATAGAACAAGCCCTCTCTCCCCCATCTGGTTGATTTTGCTCTGTGCACACCATCCTATTTCCCATCAAAAAGGGGAGGCTTGAGCTTTCTTCTCAGGTTTGCCTGCAGGAGAAAGCAAGCCAGTTTTTGTATATTTCCTTTCTCTCTGTCTCTATCTCTGTCTCTGTCTATTCTGCCTGTCTGTCCATCTGTCTGTCTGTCTTCCTCTCCATGAAGAGGTTTATTTGGCAGAACTTAAAAGCACACACAAAGGAAATAGTGTGGGCTCTCAGAGGTGTATTACAGTCAAGCTGGGAATATTTATATACTTTGGGGAGTGGAAATTAATTGTTCAGTTTTCAAAATAAGTGATCTAGGATGATTTGCCTACAACATTCAGTGGAGCATTTTAATGTGTTTATCCTAAGGCTAGGTAGGACATTAAGTCGAAGGAAATGAAGAGCCCCCGTGGTGCTGGCTGCATCTTCTCTGTCATTCACTCATTCAGCAAGTGCTGGTGATCAGTGGGACCTCCTTCAGCAGACATGGTTTCTACACTTACTGCTTCTCCCTGGTTGACAAAGGGGCTGGGCACAGGAAGTCCCTAATTTCACGTGTACTTGGCACTTGGCAGCTCTCACACTGAACAGATGAGAACCCCTAGGATTCCCTCAGTTCACAGACACAGTCAGAAGGAAACTTTGTCACCCTTCTGCTTAGCCACTGGCAGCTTCCTGGCTGGCTCAGGGCTTGTTCACACCAGGCCTCCTAGAAGCATCCTTTGCAACCATGGGAACATATTACAGAAGCAGAAAGGCTTTCTCTTTGCTACAGGAAGAAAAGTCTCCCCTTTGACTTGTGAACTTTCCCTCTCTCCTCTTGGCGGAAATGTGCCCCAGACCCAGACAGTCCCCAGGCCCCGAGAATGGGGAGGATGCTCATCATAGAGTATCCAGGTTGGGACTGGGTCCAGTCTTCAAAAGTCTAGGTTTGCTGTGAAAGGAGAGAGGCCTCTGTGGTGTCTGCAGCCCGCAGTCAGGGATATGATAGATGCAAAATTGGGGCAGCAAACAGAGCATAGCAGTGAGCGTGGCTGGCACTTGTGCTGGTCCCAGACAGAGCTGGATGGAGGAGCAAGAGTCTGAAGCCCTGGCAGGCTGGGTCTCAGTGAAGGACCTTGGACAGGGTGCATGGTGTCTGCAAAGCAGGGGAGCAGAGTGGAGGGCAGAGCCTTCAGAGTCAGCCTGGGCGACTGCTGGATTCCAGGATCAGAGTGAGGGTGAGATCTCCCAGGGGACACAACTCTGGCTTTCCTGATGCTGAGACTCCGGGCTCTTTTGCTTTTTAGTTTCCCGCCAGCAAACACGTGCATGTCTTCTCTTCATGCAAATGTATGCATGCCCTCTCTTCCAGCAAACATGCATAGATAAAACCTAGCTAGTGATAAAATAGATCCATTGGTAAGTGATTTGGAGGGAAGTGAATGGAACTTGGAGGGGAGGGTGTCCGGGGGGTGAAGCTTGAGCAGGATGGCCAGGCTGACTAGAGTGGAGACCTGCAGAGCTGGGAGCAGTGGGTAGAGAGTCCACCAGGGTGCATGCTTTCCTTCACAGCAGGACCCAGTGGTTTTAACCAGTAGTTGTGGAGTAGCTATCGGTATCAAGTAGAGAAAAAGAGGATTCCCAGATAGGTGTGTGTTGCAGGGACTGCTTTCCTAAGCTCAGAGGTGCAGCACACTCAGTTTTGGTTGATGCTATATCTTGGCGATGTTGCAGGGGACAGAGTGTCTCAAATCTGCTCTGACATCACCTGGCATCAGCTTTATCCTGAGGCAGGTTCTCTTCATGGTCACAGGATGGCTACAGTATATCTGACACCACATCTTCATGCCACATTGCTCAGGACCCCCAGAATGCCCACCCCACAATCTTTTCTAGAAGACTCCAGCAGATTCAATGCATGGATCACTGTCTGCCAGTGGATCATACACCCATGAGGAAGGGCGTGTTTTATATCGATCTGAACCTTTGCAGGAAGGCAGTACCTGATGGTCAGTCAAGATCACCCGAGCACATGGTAAGCTACAGTCATCTTCCTCATCCCAGTTCCTGCTGCTCTGGGTGACTGGGTACCTGCATCACAGACAGCCTCCTGCACCAATGTTCAGATACCATCTATGCCATTTGCTTACTGAGTTCATGCAATGAGGAGTCCAGGGTGATACATTGTACTCAATTTTATGCTTGGGAACAGAACACAAGTGTTTGTTTTCCTCCTTCTCCACATAACCGGGGTGAGGAGGCAAATTGAAAAATTCAACAAAAGTAGAAAGTTCCATATACCAAATGCATTCCTATTTATGAGCCAGATTGCTTTCCCCACACCCATGCAAAGGAATTAAAAGGCTCTCAGTTGGTAAGCTGCAGATAAGGCCCTCAGTTCCAGTACCCTGCACACCCCAGGTGCACAGCAACTTCCAGGTACATCATGTGGGTCCAGAAAGGAAGTGGGAGTGATGTTCCTACTCCTCTGGTTCTCCTCACCAGCATCCACATCTTGACCACAGCTTGCCCTAGGAGAAGCAAAGAGACACACAGGGAGGGTCTTGGCTTGGAAGGAGCTGCTGGGTTCAGCATGGAGCTGCTGTGAGCACATACTTTCCTCTCCAAGACAGCAGCCGAAGGCTTTGTCCCCACTGTGGGCCTGTGGACTGTGCCTACCCTGCAGAGGGCAACTCTGGTGCCCACCTCCAGGGCCTTTGTCTTTGGCCCTGTGCCTAGGACACTTGGCTTGAAATTGCCCTTCTCCCTGACTGTCAGCCTGGATTCTGATGGGCTTCCAACTATTCAAGAGGGGTCTGTTGCTCCATACACAAAGCTATTAGAATAAACACTATCTAAAACCGTAGAGATAGGTATCAGAGCTGAATTGAACCTTTTTGGGTAGGGACTGCTTCTTAAGATGTCTCTTTCTTACTGTATTCAGCATTGCCTACCACTCTTTAAAAGGAGTAGAATATTTGTCTGTCAGTCGGCATCAGTTCCAGGATTCTTAAGATATCTCAGCCCCAAATATCAGACAAACCCACATAACCACGCAGAGTGCTAACTCCCTGTTAGGAAGGTCTCATTAGGGATCTACGGCCTGGGTTAGAAATGACACCTCTCTCTCATCACCCTGTGAATGGTGGGATCTGAAGGGTCCCAGATACACTGCAGAGTCCAGAGGGGCAGTTTGGTCCTAACTACAGAATAGCCCACACCACAGGTGGCCCCAGATGAGCTTAGACAGGTGTCCACTCTTGGTCAGGGGTTCGTTCCATCATGAGTCCACTCCTTGGTCAAAGCTGGGGCACTCATTTGTCTTTTCATAGGCCACACCTCACTGGCCCCTGGCTGTGAGAGTGTCCATGTCCACTCTCATGTTCCAGTCTATTCCAACCCTATAGTCACTGGCCTGAAAGAATTTCCTCTTACTGGCATATGTTCGTATTTTCCACATTTAACATGTGCCTTAGAGACACAGCTTAGTAACCCTTGGCAAGCAGGCTTCTTTTGCGCATTCTGTCTGAAAGCTTTCCTTTCCTTTCCTTTTCTGTTACTACAGAGTGAACCCAGAGCCTTCACTCTGAGCTGTGTCTCCAGCATCCCTTTAAAGTCACTAAGGTTCCTAGGCTGGGGTTCAATTTGCAGTCCTCCTGCCTCAGCTTCTCAGAGAACTAGGATTACAGGTGTATGTCATCGCCTCTCTTTTGGGTACATCTTGGTTCCCCATCTTCAGGTTGTAGTCCAGATGCATCACAATGAGCCCACTATGTCCCAAGTGCACAAGGGGTTCCCTGAGGGTTCTCTGGTGTCAGATGGGATCTGGTGTCTGCAGCCCACAGAATCCCAGATAATGGCTTTGAGGTGAGCGTTGGTTTGCCAGAATGCCAGGGGGTTTTCTCATTTTGACAACTGCTTTCAGAAAGGCTAAAGAAGCTTGTGAGACTAGGAATGAATTTTCTGGAGTCAGAGGCACTGTTTAGGCGGCAGGGAGGCAGGTGGAGGTGAGGATGTGGGCTCTCATCGTGACTGGGCTGAGCCTCCCTCGGGGACTGGCCAGGACCATCAGGGCAGCAGAGGCATTTCCTTTGCTTCTATTTCCTGTATTTGACAAACACTTAAATGATGAAATCCAGGTATCCCAGGTGATGTTTACAAAGTGCGTGTGACCCCATGGCCCTTCAGACAGGAAGAAGGACAAGAGAACAGAGGGGAGGTGAAATTCACGGGGATTCATGGGGCTGGAAACCTGTTGGCCCCTTGGGACCTCCTAGGCCTGCTCCTGAGACAGTGTCCTCCACATCCTCCTGCCCTGACCTCAGGGTTGCACCAGACCAGGTGACCTGCGCTGTGTGGCTGGTTTATCTCTCAACCCACCACAGGCAAGACCCAGGCCTGCAGGGGAGCCGCCTGCCAGAATCAGTATGTGGGGTGTCGATTGGGCCACCCCAAGGGGAAAAATGGAGGTGCAGCAGCCAGGCTGCCCAGGGCCACATGGCATCCTGCTACAGGGCCAGAGGGAAGGCTGGGGCATGTTTTCTATAAATCCCGTGTCTGCTAGAGTAGGGCCGTCAGGGTGTGTCCCACAGCGGGGGTCACTTGTCTCCTAGGAGGGAACTCCCTGATCGTCCCCATCTGAAAGGTGCCCTTAGAAGCTGGCATGTAGCCAGGGTGTTCATACAGAAACACCAGGATGACACAACCAACCATGCTTGTGCTCACGGCAGCCACACATTGTTGACCACGTCCTTGCCAGGTGGCTGAGACCTCTGTAGTGCAGCTCTCCTCTGTCTCTGTGGCCCAGCACAGTGGCCACGGTGAGGAGAAGCTATGGACTGCAGCAACGCTGGCCATGGACCAGCTGCCCTCTGGTGTTGGAGCAGGGAGTTCAGCCAGTGGAGCCCCAGCCGCCCAGGACTCGTGCAGTTTCCAAGCGTGCTGGCTGGAAACCACTGCTTTTCTTTCCTTTTTTAAAGCACTGGGACAAACTTTTATAGTTTCATGAATTTAATGGGAAATGCCCTGGTCCTTACAGTGTAGCAGTATAAAACTCTGCGCCTTTCTGAGAATTTGCCTTCCTTCTGGAGGGGGTGGTCAGGCACCCCACCCTCAGCCCTGACTGCTCTGCCCACCCAGAGCAGCACGTGCCTCAGAAGACCTAGTGGCAAAAAAAGGGGCGTGGGTTCTGAAGTCCATGAAGACTTCAAGAACAGATTGAAGACACAGGCCAGGAGAGCGGTTGCAGTAGCTTCCTTCCTGTCACCTGGGAGAACATGTTTCTCCCACTCATGGCACACAGTGACAGAAGGCATGAGCCACAGGTGTGGTGTCAGAAGGGCCCACCTACCTCTGTGCCAAGGCCTAATGCTCCCATGGCTCGCAGATGCACAGGAGATGGGAGAAACCTGTCTCTGGGGCTCACACTAGCTGACTTCTCTTTTGTTCCCTGTCACTCCCAGGTACGAACAGCCAAAGTGTGACCACACAGCCAGGGCACACCCCACCAAGGCACGGGATCTGTACAGGAGCCGGCAGCTGCAGGGTGAGTATTGGGTCATGGGGCCGAGGGGTAGAGTGGAGCAGGAGGAGGCCTTTGCTTCTCGGGGGGCTGGCCTGGCCTCCTGCTCCTACACAGGATGGCATCCTCTAGGCAGATGCGGGAGCTCACAGGTAAGGCAGGGCTGCTCCCAGTATACTGACCAAAAGCCACCAATGGCAAGGACAAGGTGACACATTTGGGAGCAGAAAGAATCAGTGTCACTTTAGAGTCTGTGTTACCAGAGTAGAACTCTTGGGTGCTTCTGAAACACACAACAAAGGATTCTTGATGTCTTTTACCTGAAATAAAGCAGCAACAGTATTGTGGTTCTCTGTGTCCTTTAACACTGAGTTAACAGTTGGAGAAACTGAGGATTAATGGAAATGAATCATAAACTCAGTCTTTGGATAGACGGATTCAGTTGCAAAGGATTATTTGCAGTTTCCAGAAATGCTGAGTTTGAATTAATGATTAAAGAGGAAATTCTGTGGCATCAGATAGCACCCATGGGTTTATGATTCACCAGGACAACAGCCAGGCTTTAGCTTTTCACCAAAGCAGAATCTTCTGGGCCAGGTGGACTCAGGCAGCAGACACCACTGCTCCACTGTGGCCCTGCTCAGAGGCAGAGCCACTGTCATGGGGGAGCCCAGTGCTGTCAGTAAAATGCCTCAAAGCTGTTTGCTCTTGGTCCTCTTTCTCCCTTTAAATATCTCCAGATAGAAAGTATTTAAAGTTCCAGAGACCATGGAAATCACTCCAGTGTCCCCCATGTTCCAATTTACCTGTTGGATCCCAGTCTTATATTCTGGATAATTCTCCTCCTAGAAACTTCTATGGTTGAGGAGTACTATCATGGATAGAAAGGGTTTTCAGTTTTAAAAAGGGAAGATGCTTTTCTGTTCATAAAGACAGAGAAGACCAGGATACCCACGACAGATAAATTTTCCTTTATTTACTCCCATATCTGCTCAGCGGCACTGAGGATGAAAACACCTACTACCCGACACAGTGTAAGTGCAGGTGTCAAGATGTGGTTGGAAAGGAGGAATCTCAAGCTTTTCAACCAGCAGCGCTGAGCACAGTCCACAGCATTCACCCTCTTCCCTGTCTGAGGCGGGTTCCAGGAATGCATTGCTGGAATTACTTTATCCATACTGCTTTCCTGTGAGGGATGGTTCACTTGCTCTCTGTGTCGCAAATCAGGCTTCCTTCTGTATTGTGGAGGTGGAGAGGTAGAGAGACCATGGAGGTGAAGGCAGCCCCCCAAAACCCCCAAGATGAGGGTCTCTGGTATGCTTTATCCTATTTGTCCTAGAATTCTGGTTAATTCCTCATCTCGGAAGCCAGGCTTTAGTATTCATGGGTGACACCTTTCTTAAAAGGAAGTAACGAACTTGGCCCACGGCTGCTGGGTGGAAAGCCCTTCCCACGCAGTTGCTAGTCCATGCCGGTCTTAATCACGTCCCATAAAATCCTCACTCTGTTCCTTTTGCCTCTAGCTCCCTTCCTGAAGGGTCCAAGACTCATTTTTTGTTTTTAATAACACAAAGCTTCCTGGCTCCCCAGATGATGCTTAGTGAGGTTTTCACACACGTACTGTGAAGGTAACTCACGACAGTCAAGCGAAGTTTCGCTCTCAGTCAAGAGCAGCTGCTATTTGCTCCTGGTAGGAAGGACCTTCAGCTGTACTGTGGCCAGGAGTTTTGATCTGAAGACAGGCATGGATTCCTGTCAGACCATCAGGTGCCCTGTCTGAAGTTAGACAAACTGTGAAGAGTTGGCACCATCCTGGAACAAGGTCCATGTCAGAGCCCTGGCAGCCATGTTCCTCCATCATACTGGGGAGAGGTTAGCACTAGGTTGTGAGCAAATCACCTCCCACCTCCCCTGATGTGAAGCCAGCTTCTCTGGATGACGCTGTTCAGAACATCCTGCCTCTCCACTTCCAAGATATCTCCACTTATTCATTTTTATTGTCTGTAGAGAGTCATCCTTATTAGGAGATAAGCCCAGGAGAGTCCAAAATTAAGACTCTTCTTGGTAGAGAGGAGAAAGTCATGCAGCCTTTGGATGGGCGAACATGGGAAGTCACATGAGGCAGATGTGTCCTCTTCTTAGGAGGCTCCTGTCTGAGTTTCAGCAGCGAGGTTCTTTATTTTCCACACTGAGCTAGTAATATTCCAAGCCAAGATCATTTTATTTTTTTTCTTAGTGGCACTGGGACTGAAAGCCAAGGCCTTCACCCTGACTCATATCCCCGCCCTTTTCATTTATTTGTTTATATTTATTTATTTTTATTTTATTTTGAGATGGGGTGTAGCTAAGTCACTATGTTTCCCAGACTGACCTCTTCCTGCTTCTAGACTTGGGGGGTCTTCCTGCTCCAACCTCTTTCAGTGCTAGATAACAGGCTTGCTCCATTCCACAGGTGTTGCCTAGGTGCTGGTTGGTGAGCAAATATTTACTCACTTGATTCATAGGATGGTTAGTGTGTGTTCTAGCCCATGCTAATCAGTAATACCAGATCTTCAGAGGACAGCACTTTCATGTAGGGAGGGAGCAGAGATCCAGACTTAGCCTTACAGGTTGCACACTGGATGAACCCTGCGTGTCCCTGTTGGTTTCCTGCAAGACCTTGCAGGACTGTCCTATCTCCTGAGAGTGGTTAAGAACGAAGGTAGCGGAGACTCCCAGCAAAGCCGTTAACCGCACCTTCTCCTTCTGTGATCTTTCTTGCTTTCCTGTAGCCATATCTCTCCTGGCACTGGCACTATCCAGATGCACCCTAAGCAGATACCTGCCCCACCCCTCTGGCCTGGGCTCCTTCCTCTCCTCCTGTGTCTTCCTGTGGCTGAAGAGCCCTGTGCAGCTGGAGTGTGACCCTGTTCATGCTGGGCTCCCGTCCTACCCAACAGGCCACCTCTCCTTGACCTCCTGGCCTCCTGCACAGTCCTTAGGCCTCTAGATTCTGGAGGTACCTTCTTGGCCACTTCTTGGCCGGCTTCTGTCCCTTCATGGGCCCCCTGCACCCAAGGCTTAGGGTGTTCTATGAAGCCATGGACACAGGCCTCTGCTCAATGTCTGAAGTGGTCCCCTCAAAGGGAGCCTTGTGCTTTCTAAAGTCCCCACCACCTGCCTGGGGCCTCCTGGCGCATGGGCAGGAGACTGTCCTTTTCCCACCTGCACATGACTGCTGTGTATGGAGGGACACTGGCAGACCTTGATTCACTGACCCACATCTCAGATGAAAGGGAGTCATGTGGGAGGGTAATGGGGGCCTAGGGCCTGGGAAGCAGGGCAGAACCCACTGCTCCTAAGATACAGCACCTTGTAAGGCTGACCCAGGAAGAAGGGCCAACAAAAGCATTCTTCTCCAAATGCATGCTAGGGCCGGCAGAATCTAGGGGAGCAGGCCCTGTACTCATCCTGGATGCCATGGAGCTCACACTTTAGGATTTTTTGCTCCTCTTTTCTTTATGGAATGTGTTATGCTTGTATTGCTCAGGCAGGCCTAAAACTTTCAGGCTCAAAAGATCCACCTGCCTCAGCCTCCTGAGAGTTGGTCCATAGGCTGGCCCACCTTGCCTGACTCACAGACAAGCCCCACAGGGAGCCCAGAGGCAGGCACAAGACCAAGTCACAAGAAGGGTGGTGCTGACACTGGGAGTGGCACAGCCAATGCTGACCCCAGTTTCCCATCACGCAGGATGGCAGGAACAGTTGGTGCTGGAGACTTAATTTGAGAGAAGTCAAAATAATTTATTTTTATGGCTTGGGTTTTATGCGTCCCCATAACATGCACGATCAGATGATTTTCATCTTTCCTAAGTAAGTACGATGGTCTTGGCTTGTTCTCGGGTGCAGCCTTAGTTGGGTACATGGGCTGGCCTCCCTCTCTGTGGGCCTTTGGCCCCATCTGCCCCATGCAAAGAGAGCAACTGCCGGCAGAACGATCAGGCTTCCATCACAGCGCAGTCCACTTCTGTCCTGGCAACCTTGAGATGGGAACACCGGCCGAGAGCGGCTGTGACCAGATCAGTCCTGAGAGGAATCTTCTCCTTTGGACGTTGTCCTTAAAGGGGGCAGAAACTGAAATGGTCTTTGATGGATGTCATCCTTCAGCTTAAATCCCAGGGGCAGGGAGGCGTTGGGCAGGAGGCTTTTCAAGGTTCTGAGAAGCATGATCACAACTGTCTGTGGAGACCCTTGTCTCCACTATGGGCAGCAACTGTGTCCACCTGTTCTTGAAAGCCCTTGGACTAGCTCCAGGGACCCCATCCTCAGCCAGCCTCTGTGACAGAGCAAGGCCGCAGTCAGAGCCCCATGGCTTCCAGAGCAAGCATGTCCCCCCTCCAGTGACCACAGCATAACTGCAGCTTAGACTCTAGCACCCACGTCAGGCCTCCTCCCTGGCTTCCAGCTGTGTTGGAGCACTATCCTGTAAAATTGCTATAACATTGACTGTCATTTCCCAAAGCTGCATAAATGAGCATAGCTACATTGGTGCCCAGAGCTGAGTGACCTGAAGATGCTATCGTCTGGCTTTGCTGCAGGGACATGGGGCTGGCAGGTGGCGGTGGAGGAGGGTGTCCTACAGCCCGAGGCTGCACATGGTTTGTGCTCTAGGTTTCTCCTTAACAGACACCATGTCTGTGTATCTGCTGTTAGACCCAGTGCAGGGTGCACGGGCATAGGGCTGCTATGCTCTAGCTGAGCTGGTGAGAAGGTACTGGTAGCCTTGGGGAACACAGTCGCTCAGGGCTGGGAACATAGGCATCACTGTACACCCATGGGGCTCACCCATGTCATCTGCTCCCCAAGCAGGTGCAGAAAAGTCCTCTGTCCCTTTCCTTCTGTGGGGCTGGTGTCAGAGGTTCGGAGCCGTGAGCAGGCTGGGTACTAGAGAGGACTTTGCTTTGTGAGTCCTGCATGACGTTGTACCTGAAGAATGCTAGGTCACAGCCAGGGGCTTGGCTTGGCTTCTGGGTATGGCCAGGGTG